CTGTCCTCCCTTCCCCCCACCCCAGGCCCCTTCTCTCCGTTTCTTTTGCAACCTCTGACATGTATACATTATGCAGAATTCCAGATGTTGATAGACATTGGGATAAATAATGAGAGAAAAAAAGAAAAAAAAACACAAAAAACTAAACTTTTCCCCAAAGTCATAAGGCTCTAGTTTTTGATTTGGGGAGGAATCAGCTCATTTCATGGCTTGTAAATGTGATCTTATAAAATTAGGTAATTTAGGAAGGTTTTTATCATCATTATATTAATTTTTCTTTAGTAGTCATGATTTTACTATTGCTCTGGTAGTCTATGCAGCCACTGGGTCCAGGAAGTCCAAAGAGGAGCTCTGAAAGATGTGAAAATCTTCAAGAGTCAAGGGAATGAAGCTATTTGCTGGGCTCCGCAGATAACAAGAAGGCATGCTCGTCATCGCCATCATCATCACCATTAGGCGGTGCCACCTCCCAGAGTCTACAACTCCCATAGCCAGCTGGGGGAGCTGACAATAGCTACTGTCTCTCTGCAAGCCATCGGTATAAAACTCTTCTGGAGTGAACATAAACATTTGATGATTTTACTGAGAAAACAGAAGACATTCCTGCCCTACCCCCAGTCCCACAACACCCCCCCCTTTGCCTCACAATAAATATACTTCGTGCATGGAAGAAGAAAGGGAGGAACACGTTTATTCTAGACTAATCTGAAGTTCACTACAGATGGTTTGGCTAATTCAGTTAAAATTAAATTCTTTTCTTTACCTATCCTGTCCCCTTCACACATGGGAATTGTTTTTTGGAGTTAAATTCCTTTATAAAGTTCCTATTGTATGACTGGGAGTAATTTCTTGACAGTGGGTGAAGATGCTACAGCTGTAGTTGTTCAAACAGGTGGAGGCACTTAGAGTAAGGATCCAAAGATTGCCAATTAGGTTGGCCTGTGGTCCACAAGCCAGGAAGGGATTTGAGGTCCTGAGGATCTGCTACCCCTCAGGGTAGTGGTGTTTTTTGTTGTTGTTGTTTGTTTTTTTGCGGTACGCAGGCCTCTCACTGTTGCGGCCTCTCCCGTTGCGGAGCACAGGCTCCGGACGCGCAGGCTCAGCGGCCATGGCTAACGGGCACAGCTGCTCCGCAGCATGTGGGCTCCTCCCTGACTGGGGCATGAACCCGTGTCCCCTGAGTCAGCAGGCAGACTCTCAACCACTGCGCCACCAAGGAAGCCCAGGGTAGTGGTTTTTGAAGTATATTGCTTCTGTAGCACCATAACTTCAACTTCTGCTTTGAAAAACTTTGAAGCCATTTAAAAGTAATAAAAACATTCATGTTTAAATGTGCTAGGCACCAAATTTTAACACGTTGGAGACCACCTGGACTAGATTTTGAAATAAACCTCTTGCTGTTTCTGTTTAACAGGAGACTGTTCTGAGGTCACAGGGTGAGCTGTTAAAACATTTTTGCAACAACTTCTCTGTGTGAATTAGACCTTTTTCGGTACTGGGCAACCAAAACAAAAGATGGAAACAAACTGGTTGCTGAGGCTGATATGGGAGGGCAACAGTTAATCTCTAATCGCTGATTTCAAATTTTTGTGTGCATCATTACAACCTTATAGTAACTTAAAACTGCTTTAATGTGTATTACATAATGGGGCTCCCCCTTAAGAATTCAACTGAGGGAAGGGTACCTCTCCTGAAAAAAAAAATGAAAACCATTGCTTCAGATTCTGTTGCAGAATTTCTGGTGCCAAAAGTGTCCTCAGAATAAATCCAGAGACCAGCTCTCTCATAGTGGCCAGTCGTGGATTTTGCCCTCCAGTAACTGTATCTTTGGTTTTTTTAAACTGGAGAATTACCCCTCCCACATTATGAACAGACTTTGTGGGACTGTCTATCAAGATGGGCCACCCTTTCCTGGGTAACACTTCAGGTCAATCAGATTCCCTCTCTTGGGAATTTGAATTATGAATTGTCCCATGCAAGATCTGAAGTGGTTGGAGGTGACTTATCCCATAGCTTTGCCCTGAAAACGCGGTCCATTGGTTTCTTTGGCCTGGCTCCTTTCGCATCCCTCAGGGACCTATTCTTTCTGAGGCCTGTTGTATGGCTTTTCCTTCGATTCTTTGAGGTCTCCAGACCTCTCCAGTAGACTACCGCCACCCTTTATTTGTTTCTTAGGCTAGCCAGAATCGTTTCTGTTGTTTGCAACCAAAACATTCTGACTGATTTTCTCCGAATTTTGCAAATGGGGAAATGGTAGTAGCATCAAGAGGTCAGTGGCTTCTTCAAGGCCACACTGTGAGAACTTTGGCACAAGTGTAAGGCCATGCTCTACAGGAAGAAATGATCCTAAATCAATATCCACAAAAGTAGAACAAATATATCTAGGACAGAATTCACCTTTGCACTTCATGTGTGTATGGGGCAGGGGGGAGAGAAATATGAATAATGGTGTGGGAAATAGGGTGTGTGTGTCCCAGATCTTCACAACTCTGAGTCACAGATGTATTTCAATTCTGGTCACTCAGGCAGGATTTTTGCAGAGACCCAGAACCATTCACTCAGGACCCTAAGGCTTGAGGAGGAATTCTGAAAAGGTGGATGAATCTTAGGCTCTCAAGCTGAAAGGGAACTTGGGCAGATAAATACCTAACCAGGGATCTGAGTCAACAGAAGTTAAGAACTGAGAGTCTGAGGGAACAGACCAAACATGCTAACAATGGTTCTTACCTTTAACAAGGGCTGGTGGTCATGGTCCACTGGACCATGAGCTCTGTAAAGAGAGGACTGGACTTGTTCACCACAGTATTCACAGCACCTGGCACAATGCCTGGCACCTAGTACGTGCTCAATACACATTTGCTGAATGAGTGAATGGGTTGGGCTTCCATGCAGTTGTTTGGACTCAGCAGCCTAGTGGTTTTGTCACTAATGGACCGGGTCTTTGGCTTTGCATCTCTGGCCTCACTCATAGGGGGCCAAATGGTGCCTGGTAGGTGAGCAATGTCTGGAAAACACAGGAGCCGCGGCTGCAGTATATTCCCAATATTCTAATTACTGATGACATTTACTCAGCAGCAACTGTGGTACAAGGAACAAAAGGTTATTGCCCTGTGGGCATGCAGCCAAAATGACAGAAAACAAAAACAAGCAACTGGTAGCTTTTCTGTGTCTGTGTGTGTATGTTGATTGTTGTGTTAAGGTATAAGAAGCAACACTATTTCAGATTTATAACAAGAACAGCAAGAGTGATTATATCCCATTTTACAGACAAGTAAATAGAAGCCCAGAGAAACACAGACTTTCCCAATGTGCAGAATCGTGTCCCCAGCCTAGCCTGGAGCACCCATCTTTTTGTGTGTGTGCTCCATCTAGGTGGCTTGAGCTCTGTCCAGTCCAGGGTCTGATGTTTGCCTCCTCCATTCCATACTGGTTATGTCACTGCAGGCACAACAAGGGTCTCCAGTTGAGAAAGGTCCTTGGAAAGGAGGGAGTTTTAAAACATTTGAAAGAGGGAAGATTGTAAGTTGACAAGTGCGTCAGGGGAGGTGGCCCCATCTGTGCTGACCCCGGAGCCCCACTGTCCTCACCTCCAAGGACCGAGATACACAGTGGTTACCAGGGCTGAGGCAACTGCTCCGCATTATTCTGTCACATAGCCTCTTTCTAGACTCTTTCTCATGTACAGACAGGCCTTGTTATTATTATTTTAAAAAAATTATCTTCTTACATCACCATCGTTTGCAGTTTCTTCTTTCTTATAGTGATTCCTTGGGGAAGAGCTCCAGCTCTGGGAGACGCTGACAGGTGAAACCTCAGCTTTTCTACTGGCAGGGATGCCCTCAGCCAAGCAGGGCAAGTAGGTGATGTCATTTAGAACCCTTTCCTCTCAAGGTGCTGGGAGTTTTCATGTGACTGTGCTCACACAGACCCTGTTCCTACCTTTACCACCTCTCTCCCCAAAACAGCACCTCCCAGGGTCCTTCCAGAGAGAAAATGCTGCATTTCAGTTTCCCACAGACTCAGAATCCCTTAGAATCTCAGGCAACAGTTTGGGACACCAGGAGACAGGCCCCTGATAATCCAGGACAAAAGTTGCTGCCTACTCACCACGCCCAGGCCCACTGCCTCCTTCCTGGCTGACAGAGCTGGGGCAGGGAGTGAGGAAGGATTCCTGAACACCTGTTTCCTACTTGGGAGAGCCCAAACTCTAGGCTTTCAGAATTAAAAATGGCTAGGGACCAATGATCAGTGTTCATTTAGCCTGGGAGTGGGAAAACTCAATCAGATTCTCTTTCTAGGGCATTTGAATTATGAATGGTCCCATGCAAGAACTGAAGCTGTTGGAGGTGACTTATCCCATAGTCTTGCCCTGAAAACATTGCCCATTGTTTACTTTGACCTGGCTCCTTTCATATCCCTCAGAATCCTATCCTTTCTGAGGCTTGTTGTATGGCTTTTCCTTTGATTCTTTGAGGTCCTCAGACCTCTCCAGTAGACTACCGCCCTCCTTTATTTGTCTCTTAGGCTAGCCATTTTGGGGGAGCCTCCTAAGGCTCTAGGGTCCTCAGGCCAGAGCAATGCCCAGTCACAATCAGCCACCCCAGTTTGTATCCGCAGACCCCTTAGGACAGACAGCCCAGTGAGACTCTGTATGGAGTTGTAGCCTTTCTTGTTTTGGGGGCGCTGAGGGGAGCTTCTTAGAAGGGGGAAAGGGTGAAACACTGAAAGGTAGTTCCTTAATGGTTCCTTTCTGCCTCCCTGGTTTTGGAGGCAGCTTCGGGTGTTCCCAGGCTTAAAGGAAGGGGGCAGCATTGTCTCTGGCGGCCACACCCAGAGATGGGCTTACCAGGAGGGCAGCCTCAGGGCCAGGTAACCACGTTTCCCCAGGACCAGGAGAGAGCAAGTGCGCAGCCCGCGGAACTTCTGCGGTGAAGGGGACTCGGCGAAGGGAAAAAAGGATCTTTCGGGTTCTTTAAAGAAACAGCCACACACCTTTCATTAGCCTATATATATTTGGATTTTAGCCCAACCCAAGCCAAGTCTCCTTGAAGCCCCGCCTCCTGAAAGCTCCGCCCAACGTCAGTAGCTACGCCCACTCCCTGTTCTAGGAAGCCACACCTACTAGAGATCGCCCGCCCCAGAAGGGCCCGTCCGGGGAGCCCCGCCCCTGTAAGCCCCGCCCCACCCCGCCCACCACCCAGAGGCGCGCTCAGCAGGTGGGGTTGAGCACGCGGCAGGAACAGGCGCTGCGGAAGAAGCGGCACTGGCAGAAGGCGCACGGGTCGCAGCAGGGGGGCGCCGGCGGCTTGCAGCTGTCGCGGGTGGCCACGCAGGAGCCAGGCGGCGGGGGCTGGGGCTGTGCCACCTTCTTCATCGAAGCCTTTTTCTGCGGGGAAACGCTGGGGCTGCCCGAGCAGTCCACGTCCGCCCCACTCGTCCTCACCTCTGCCTGGGGACTCCTTGGACTATGGAGGCCCCCGACCAGACATCCCCACCTTCTGCCCACCGCCCGCTCGACTGATGCCCACAGGGCACCCCAGCGGGTCCCCGCCTGCTCCCCCAACAATGCCCCACTTCATCAAAACTTAACTGGCTCCGGCCTGGCCTCTTCTCTCCCTAGGGCATCCCACTCAGCTCCACCGTTTTTAACTACCGTCTCTGTTGTCTTCCCCTTCCAGTGTAGCCACAATCCCTGTCAGTTCTGCCTTCACAATACATCTGGAGTCTACCCACTGCTTCACTACCGCTGCTACCCTGGGCTAGGCCCCTGTCTGCGGCTCTTGCCCCCTTACAGTCCAACCTCCAGTGCACAAAAGGGACCTCTCAGAAGACCTATGATGGCATCACACCGGGGCTTAAAGCACACCCTCCTCCCCGTTACTTTGATCCTTGAGGCCCTCTGTGGTTTGGCCCGCCCACCTCTCCCACCGGTCTTTACCACACTGCCTTCTGTGCACCGAACACAAGAAATGAGTTCCTACTGCAGGAGCTTTGAGTTTGCTACTCCCTTTTCTGGGGACATTCTTTGCTGTGCTGTCCAATACAGGCAGCCACCAGTCAGCCATATGTGGCTGCTGAGTACCTGAAATGTGTCTAGTGCAATTGAGGAACTGAGTTTTCAAAAAACAAGGTTTTATTTTCATTTTACTTATTTTTAGGGTTACTTTCTATTTATGTCAAGTGATACTGGTTTTCTATATTGGTTATATAGGTTTTTAAATAACTATATAACCATGATAGAAAAGTTTTAAAATTAAAGTTTTAATTTTAAACAAATATATTAAATAGGTGAAACTCAGATATGGTAGAAGTTGTGGAAATGGTTCTGAAATGACTGAGGTTTGGGAAACATTGAATTCATCCAAGAGAATGAGTGATGGTGAAATTTCAGGCAGGGTGTGAGCTAGTATAGGAAGATGCTTTTTAGCAGGTAAGCTATTTTGCTCAGTGAACCTTAGCTTTCTGGGCCTCAGCTCCTGGGGGTCTGGTTCAGGGCTTGAGGCCAGGAAGTTTTGGTAGCTTTCAGTTTCTTGTGGGCATGTAGGCCTGGGAAATCTTTTATTAGTTCCTAGCCAGAGCTTGGGGATCCTCTCCCTTTAAGTCCAGTCCCACCCCAACAATGTGAGCTCCCAGGCCTACCTTGGAAGATCTTTTTTTTTCCGCTTCTTTTCTGCTGATCTTTTTGGATTTCTTGTTCTGTGCTTCAAAGAGAGAAGGAGCAAAGCCAGTCTCTGAGGGCCCTGAGCTGCAATGAAGTGGGAGGAGCAGAGGGGGCTCCAGGAAGCCCCAGGGTAGGGGAGAAGATGAAGGGTTGGCTGGATAGATCACATCTTGGGACTTAGGCCAGCAGGTTCTTGTTAGCCTGGCTGCAGACCTGGAGCCAGAGACTGAGAGCTGAGTCCTCTGAAGGAAAGCAAAGGTGGCTCTGGAAAATGGACTCAGTGTCTTGTACATGGATGGACTTGTTTTTCCTGTATCCCTATTTTCCATTTCTCAGAGCTTTGGAGCCAGGCATACCTGATTTGAATCCTGACTCTGCGATATAACAGCTTTGTGGCCTTGAGCAACCTACTTAATCTCCTTAAGACTCAGTTTTCTCATCTGCAAGTAGGATACTGTAATACCTACCTTGAAGAGTTGTCTTGAGGATAAATGAGGTATGTTTATAAAGCAGAAAATCTGACACATTGAAGGTGATCAATCAATGTTAATGTGCCCCAGTCCCTTCCCTGATATATCTAGAATATCCTCTTTTTGAAGTGAGAGACAAGTCAGCAAGGAACATTAGTTTTGAGCTTAGGTTCTGGAGTTAAACACCTGGGTTTGAATTCTGGCTCTGCCAATTAAGAACTGTGTGTTAGTTAACTTTTCTAAGACTTAATTTACTTAGCTGTGAAATAAAATAGGAATAAAAATAATACTCACTTCACAGTGCCTAGCACAAAATAAGTATATATGTTATTATTATTATTGTCAGATGAAGTTGAGCCAGAAGATCTCCATGCCAGGCTCTAATGCCCCGATACTGTCTCCCAAGCAGTCATTTTCAATTCTCAACCCTGGCATGAAAGGACTAGTTCATCCCAGACTTGGTTATATTCTGCAGCATTTCCTAAAATTTTTACCATTGATAGGAGTTCCATGACTCATTAAGTTTCAGAAATGGTAAGTTAAACCAAATTCACCAATTGTCATGACTTTAAGGTTTCTCAGAGCCTCTAACATGCTAAGCTGCGTATTCGATTGGTGGCAGGCAGGGCTTTCCTAAACCAAATGAGTTAAGGGGCACTTTATTCCTCCAGGATTGTTTTGAGGAATGAGCACGAAGGAGCTCTGACCTATGGCAGTAGATCCTGGTATCAGCTTGGGGAGTGTGTTTGACAACCTGCAGTTCTCTTGGGCCAGAGCCTGGAGGCTGGGCCCCAGGCTAGGCTACCTACCCACAATAGAGACAGAAGGGAAATCCAACAGGTTCATGGAAGAGTTGCTCCTTAGGCTCCTTTCATCTCTGGGCTTTTCCTCAGGTGCCAGGTGGCTGTAGGCAGTGAGGAAGCACAGGCATACCAGCAGGGTAGCCAGGAGGAGGCGTGTGACATCCATTCCGGGAGGCCTGAGTGGGACAGAGAAGGCAGTCAGGTGGGCCAGGGGTCCTGGCAAATGGATGTGCCCTCCTGCTTTCTTTGGGCTGGTGCTCTGACCCCATTCCACACCCCAGTGTCCCAGGGGAGCTGGAGGACCAGTAAGGCTTAGGACAGGGAAGGGGAACTGATGAAGGAAGAAGAGAGAAAAGGAGATGGGAGAGGAAGAAAGAAAGACAAGAAAGGGAGGGAGGGACTTCTCTGGGGGTGCAGTGGTTAAGAACCTGCCTGCCAATGCAGGGGACATGGGTTCGAGCCCTGGTCCAGGAACATCCCACATGCTGTGGAGCAACTAAGCCTGTGAGCCACAACTACTGAGCCCATGAGCCACAACTACTGAAGCCCGCACGCCTAGAGCCTGTGCTCCGCAACAAGAGAAGCCACCACAACGAGAAGGCCGTGCACAGCAATGAAGAGTAGCTCCCACTTGCCCCAACTAGAGAAAGCCCACGCGCAGCAATGAAGACCCAACACAGCCATAAATAAATAAATAAATAAATAAATTAGTTAATTATTTTTTTTAAAAAAAAGGGAGGGAGATTGAAGTAAGGAGAAAAGGAATGCATTGCAATTGGTCTCTGCCTTCCAGAGGGTGGGGCGCTGGGTTTTTTTAAGTCAGTGGCCCCAGGAGACCCTAGGCTTGGGCAGAGTTGTTGAAAGGTTCCCAGTAATGCCTCACAGTGGCAGAGGTCTTACTGAAGTGCAGAGAATAAGGCTCATGAGTTAAGACTGAACGAGACGGTGTAGGGATAAATGGCTTTTTTGGACAAGTGTGTAAGTCATTGCATATGCTATATTCCGACATCCAGAGGAAATAAATGCAGATATGGTTTGCGTCAGGAGGATAGGATGGACCTGTTCAAATAGGCTAACTATATTTATCGATTTATTTCTAGCTGGATTTTGATGAACCAGACAGATCCCAGAGCGGATTTCTTCCCACGAATGTCTAGGTTTGGCTTAGTGAGGGCTCACAGCTTCAACAGCATCTTCATCTTCTCTGAGTGTGGAATCCCTACTCCTCACCCACCCTGTGCGTGTTCTTTCTGGTCTGGGAAAAAGCTGAGACTGCTTTCCTAAGGTTCTCTGGCCCTACCATAAGGCATAGTGGGTGAGAAGAGAATAAAACAATCTGCTCGTGCTGGTCCTGCGCATTCCTGGGCTCAGCCTGGCAATTTCTAGCCTTTTCCTCCCAGCCCTCAGATTGCTTAGAGTAAAATTTTCTCCATTTCTGTTACATTCCAGGAGAAGGAGGACCCAAATAGCCAGCCCCCAACCTCATTCTAAACTTCTTAAAGGTAGAGGGGACAATCCCTTCCTTTTGAAGTTCGCCCTCTACCTCTCTCAGCCCTCACTCCATTTCTTCTGATTCCTTCAGATCCTTTCATCAATGGGCATTTATTTGCCTATCATGAACTGGCCACCAATTTTCTTTCTCAAAGCCTGGTAGTGAGTCAACAGAATGAGCACTGGGCTCGGAGTCAGGACCTCTGAGTTCTTGTCTTGGCTTAAGCATTAGTAAAGGCATGACTTTGGACAAATCCATTCTTTTTTTTCTTTTTAATGGACTCTAATTTTCTTTTTGGTAAAATGAGGGGAGTGGGCTAGGTGAGTGGTTTGCATTCATTTAGCAGGGGAGCTCTTTCTTCAAATAAACAATGACTTGAAGAATCCCAATGTATAAACAGAAAGAGGCAATACAGAGGTTTTTCAAGCAGTTCACATCTTTTTTGTGTGGTGGGACAATACTTCTCCTCAGGCCCTAGAGCCCAAAACATTTTTTGAGGCCCTACATTTCCCAGCTCCATGTAGTTCCATCTCAGAGGTTTCTAGTCCCTATCAGCAATAGTTAACCCAAACAAACCTTTATCAGGAAAGTCTGGGGACTGAGGCATAGTAATTTCCTCCATTCTCTGCTTCTCAGAACTTTGTACTGTTCTCTGTCAAATACTTTATCACATTGTTTATGTGTTTGTCTCTCCCACTTGATAACAAAAAGGCCATGTTTTACTCATTTCCGTGACCATGAACCTGGCACAGTGACCAGCCCCAAGCAGTAACTTGGACCCCTCTTCCTAGCAGGACTCCCTCTCTCTCTCTCTAATGATGCTGCTGGGCTCTCAGCTTGGAGAGCAATTTCTCCTTCTCTCTTGTTGCCCACACCCAGTCAATCAGTCATTAAGTTCTAGTGATTTTCACTCCCCCCAATTCTCACAACCCTCCCTCCCTTTCCATTCCTTCCATCCGTGCAGCCTAGTTCCTCCCACTTGGTCTTCCATAAGAGCCTCCTCACTGGCCTCCTCGACTCTAGAACATATAACCAGACTAAGCTTCCTTTTAAATAAAGCCCCATTTCCTTTCATTCATTCATTCATTCATACCTACATTCATTCATCTAGTTAAAAAATATTTGTTAAGTACCAACTATGAACCAGTGCTATGCTAGATTCTTGGGTAAAAATAGTGATCAAGGGGCTTCCCTGGTGGCGCAGTGGTTGAGAGTCCGCCTCCCGATGCAGGGGACACGGGTTCGTGCCCCGGTCCGGGAAGATCCCACATGCCGCGGAGCGGCTGGGCCCGTGAGCCATGGCCGCTGAGCCTGCGCGTCCGGAGCCTGTTGTCCGCAATGGGAGAGGCCACAACAGTGAGAGGCCCGCGTACCGCCAAAAAAAAAAAAAAAAAAAAAAGATACACAATGATGCCTGTCCTTACAGAGCTTACATTCTATCAGGGATGACTGACAAGTTAAATAAGTTATTCTAATAAAGCTTGTGCTATGGGAGACCTCAACCAGTGCATGGACTAGGGAAGGTCTCTTGAAGCATGTTGTATTGAAGCTGAAAACAGAGGGCTGATTTGGACTTATCCATGTTGAAGAGGAGAGTGGAGGTGGTGATGGCAGTGTTGCAGACACTGAGAACCATATACATGAAGATCCAAAGGCAAGAGACGATGGTGAATTTGAGGAACTAGAAAAGATCAGTAAGGCTGGCAAATAAACATAACAGGAGATGGAAGCAGGGGCCAGATCATGATGGGACTTGTAAACCATGGTAAGGAGTTTGAACAATATCTTTTTTTTTTAGCGGTACGTGGGTCTCTCACTGTTGTGGCCTCTCCCGTTGCGGAGCACAGGCTCCAGACGCGCAGGCTCAGCGGCCATGGCTCACGGGCCCAGCCGCTCCGCGGCATGTGGGATCTTCCCGGACCGGGGCACGAACCCGTGTCCCCTGCATCGGGAGGCGGACTCTCAACCACTGCGCCACCAGGGAAGCCCTGAACAATATCTTAAGGTCGATGGAAAATGAATGAAAAGTTTTGAATAGGGGGAGGGACTTGTTCAGATTTGCATTGTAGAAAGATCCCTCTGACTGGGGTGAGGAGATGGAGGGGACAAGACTGAAAGGAAGGAAAACCAATTAAGAGGCTGCTGCTGGTTCCAAGCGTTCTATTCCTCTGCAGGGGTTACCCTGACTACCAAATGAAATACATAATCCATAGCCTCAAAAAGGCACCAGAGCCCTCCCAACCTGCCTTCCACATTCCTTTCCAGCTTTATCTTTTCCTATAGGAAGTATATATCCTAGCCAAGCTTGGCTACTACCTGGTCCCCATACAAAGCTCGTCCTTTACCACTTCTTAAGCCTGACAACTTATGACCTAAGCACAGTACTTAGCTTGTTATACAAGCATTTATTTACTAACCACTGAGGCTGAATCTGTAGCTGTTAATGACTGCAGTATTCGTTTGCCCTTTCCATATTTTGTGTAGCATTTGTACAGTCTTCAAGCTAAAAATGGTTTTCACGTTTGTAAAGTGTTCTATTAAAAAAAACCCAAGAGAGACCCTATGTGGTCCACAAAGCATAAAATATTTACTCTCTGGCCTTTCACAGAAAAAGTCTGCTGACCCTGTCTAGATTGTGAGAATCGCGAGGGGCTGTTAGGCAAGCAAGCACGTCACGTCTGCTCTCTCAATATCTACTAATTGATTGAAGTAATTAACTGCTTCTTTGGGTAAAGGTATTGATGATCCTTATTAAAAGACCAATGTGACTTGGGAAAGTTAACTTGTGCCATTACCAACCAATAATACTTGTCATTAATTTATCAGGTTTCAGATTCGTTTTAGGACAGGGCTGGGTCCTAATGAGACAAGAGTTAGGATTGTTAAGTTTTGATTATTAGAGGCAGAGGGAAAATATCCATTCTGAGTAGTTATCATAATGTTTTGAAACTTTCTATTACACCATGCTGCCTAGAATTTATAAAGATGCAGTGCAATAACCCCTGGAATACAAATAAGAAATATAATAATTGGAAATCGCAAGATAATATTTTTATTAGTTGCATAAAATTAAATGTGTATTTTTGTATAAGATCAATCTTGTATAAGATTTTATTTTGTATCCCCAATATCTTCCAAAAGCAATTTTTTAAAAAAAACTTTTTTCTTGTTTTTAATTAATTGATTTATTTTTTGGCTGCGTCGGGTCTTGGTTGTGGCACGCGAGATTTTCGTTGAGGCATGCGGGCTTCTCTCTAGTTGTGGGGTGCAGGTTTTCTCTCTCGTTGTGGTGCGGGGGTTCCAGAGTGCGTGGACTTCGTAGTTTGGGACACTCAGGCTCTCTTCTTGAGGCGCATGGGCTTAGTCGCCCTGTGGCATGTGGCATCTTATTTCCCTGACCAGGGATCAAACCCGTGTCCCCTGCATTGGAAGGCGGATTCTTTACCACTGGACCACCAGGGAAGTCCCAAGACCATTTTTTTTCAAGCAGCAGAGCTCTGGTATCAGTGGGTATTAATTAGAAGGACAAATCAGAAATAAATTCAACTTGAAAAGAGAAAAAGAAAGGAAAGAATGGAGATATGGTGGAATGGGTTGGGGAGAAGCTCTGATTAAGGAAAAGCTCTGATTAAGGCAAGTCACAAAAGTCATGTCATTGATTGAGAGGCATTATATTCATTTATT